GGGGGATGAAATATTAACGCCCACGATCTTCGACAGGGGGGAGGGAGGGGGGTGGATTGTTCAAACGATCCTTTGACACGAATGAAACCTTGTTTCATCGAGAATTCGTGAAAAGGGACGTAACGAGTCCCGCGGTGTTTGAATAAAATATTTGCAAAGATATTTTGAATGATGTAATACCTTGCCTCGATGATCGAGTAGTCATTAATGTAGAATAATTTCGTTATCGTTAATTGTAATTGTGCGATTGTAATTAATTTATCGCTTATTGTTGTTACAATTTTCGTTTCCTCCGTTGGAAAAATGATCGAAAGTTTGGAGGGTAGGTAGAGAAGGACGGACGATGGACGAGTCATCTACAAGTATAATACGGAGACAATGGGAAAGGAAATGGAAAGGCGGAAATGTTGATTTCAATCTCGTCCAAAGAATATCTTGGGAAGAACATGGATATTTTCAAAAATGTATTAGTTGTACTATCTGTATCTAAGAGATACAGATCCTTTTAACAAAAACGGAATATTTTTCTTCATGATTCTCAGAAGAACACTAGCATTTTCATCGTACACTTGTCTCCAACTCGATAATAAATAAAAAATCATTCGAGCATTCATTTTCTCCGCTAAAAAAAAATTAATCCTATAACTGAACGATTTTTTTCTCTTCAAACATTTTATACATTTCTCTCTCTTTTCTTTCTTCTTACGTTTCAAAATTCGTCAAACAAAGATATACACGTAGTTAACAACACGTGGAGTAGAGCGGTCGAAAAGCGCAAAAGGCGATCTTAATGAAACGAGTGGCAACGTTGGAATGAGAAAGGGACCAAGGGAAGATACACACGTTCCACCAGGAATATTTTCATTTAACCATCGGCAAACGATTCGAGCTCCACCTTTGAGCAACGGTGATATTTAATTCGATCCCAGGGACCTTTGTGGGGCTCATCGCTCGTGGAATTTCCATATAAACGCGGCACTGCTATAGTTTAAACACAGAGACCCGAATGCAAATGCGTTTTTCGTCGTTTCTCTCTTCGAGGGAGAGGAGTGTTCTTTTTCTCTCTCTCTCTTCTTTGCGCGCCCGTGATTTTTCATGGGGGTGTGATACTTTGTGAGATTGGTGAGGAAATATTTAAAGGTTGATTAATTTTTTTTTTTCCTTCCTCCTATTTCGTATTATCGATGATAAAATGGAAGCTCGTGATAAAAGTATTATTTTGTTCAGTAAAGCTCGTGCGACGAATCGTATTATTCGTTTCGTTGCTGTTTGATAATTTGTTTTATGAGAAGAGATGAATTTGGGATACAAATTTTTCGTTGATATTTGGGAAATAAAAGAATTTCGTATTCCTCGTTCGTGCAATTATTCCGAAATGAAAAATTGTGTAATTGTTTTCGTTATCTTTTAATCGAACAAGTCCTGAAATTTTGTGTCTTTAAAAATGAAAAGTATTTCGAATAAAGATTTTTCTCCTTTTATTATTCATTCTCACGGAAGAAACGTCAAATATGAGGGAAAAATTGTAGAAAATAAAATATGCGCGATATGAGCAAGAGAATTACGTTGAAAGAATTCGTGCAAAAAAAAAAATATATATATATCGTACTTTACTTTAAAAATGTTATTCACCGGTTATTTATAATTATTAAATTCCATTTTCATTTTCATTCGAACAAACTCTTTGTCTCGCCAACAATTTTTTTATAATTTTCTCCAATTTTCTTTCAAACGTTTCATTCAAAAAAATTTTTTCTTTTTATTTTAACAAAACGAACTATTTATATTTCGCTTAGCAATTTTTTCGTCCAATTACTGGTCTCGCTATTCAAACATTTTATTTGTTCAATTAATCGACAAATTCTTTATTTCACCACCAACTTTTTATCTTCTTCGATTTATCTTGCATTTCAAATATATATATATATATTTTATTTTCCCATTTTATATAACTTTTCATAATTTCCTCCCCTTATCATTTATCTCGTCCCCGTAAAGTAAAATAAATATTTTACTTTATCAAGAGAGAGAACGCGACAAAAGGATGAATCTTGAAACCCTGTCTTTCCTCAATCCTGGCAATGCTTGGCCCATGCATGGTTATCACGCGTAACAAGGGTGGAACGACGTCACCCAGAAAAATCATGAATATCACTCAGGATCGATTTACGAGGGATATCAGTCATTCGGTTGTGAATGCGAAAATTTTTCTCGTCTCGACGGAAAAGCTTTATTACAGGGGCGTATTTTGTCTCCATAAACTATTCAATATATCAGCGCATGTATCATGTCTGAACGATAATATTTCCTTACTGTTCGCGCGAATTTCCTTCGAAAATTTCCTGAAAAATATGATTGAACGTGCGTCGAATTTTATTGTATAGCCTCATTTCTTTGTTGTTGTTGTTATTATTGTTGTGTTGTGTGGAGGGAGAGTTTTCATGTATGAAATATGCAAATAGGAATTTTGTACGCTTAAAGAATAATACACTTGCGAATTTTCTAGGGATATTAGATTTAAAAACGATTGAATAATATTCGAAGAGAATTAAAATGTAATGTAAACGTGATTTATGAGGGAAATAATTCAAATGATTATACCTTCGATTCTATGAATTATTATACGTGAGACAACAGTTTTATTTTGATAACTTTAAGATAAAATATGTAAATTGAATATACTAATAATAGAATAATAAAATATATTATCGAAAAAGAAATACTATTTATATTCAAATTGAGAAAATAAATTTTCGTAGCAAATTAATTCTGTCCCCTATTTTTCTTTTAATATCCAAAAGTTAAAATATTTCGTATCAATGATAAACAAAAATTGTATATATATAAAATATATCCATGTTCAATTAATCTTTATACAATCCATTTATACAATACCAAATCTTTGTCAAATTCATTCATTTCACCTTCAATTATTCTTTAAGAAAAGAAACTCTAACGTCGAATCTTCTTCCAATTCTTATCAAAAATTAAAAAATTCACCTTCGATTTATCTTTCACAAAAAGAAAATTCGCTGAATCCAAACGGAAAAAAGAAAATGGAAAAAGTAGTAGCCACGATTTTGCGTGATACAGAAGCGAGGTTTCTATCTCAAAAAACGGGTCTCGAAACGCGTTTAATTCTCGTGCGGATAGACGAGATTCCCGAGTTATTGAGGAGAAAAAAAAGGGAAAGAAAAACATTGAAATAAAAACGAATGCCGCGTAAAATATTCTCGATTAACGGATCCTCCAATCTCGCGATTTCGTTCGTTGGTCCGCCGAAAATTATTGTTGGAGGGAGGGAGAGAAAAAGAAAAAGGCGAAACTCACCAGGAATCGGTGGGACAATTCGTTTCTTCGGGCAGCGCAGGAGGAAAAACTGTAACAGGGGGAAAAGAGAGAAATTGAAACGTGTTCGCGCGTTCGATTCTCTTAACGCATGTGAATCATGTATGAGAATTTACTTGACGGTGAAATTAAATTTGTTCTCTGTGTATGTGTGCGTGTAATTTTTAATGGACGCGAAAAAGCAATATCTTTAATACCGTTTCGTGTTAGTTAGACGATCGAATTAGTTAGTGATTAAATTTTTCGTAACGAAGTTTTAAGTAACGAGCCTAAATTTATTGGATGTTTGTGAAATATAATTTGTGGAAAATTTAAATGTAAAAAAAATATAAATGAAAATATAGGATTAGGATATTTAAATAAAAATGAATTCTAATTGTTCTTGCAAAATTTAATAAAATATATAATTCATGTAAGAAAATATTTAAAAAAAAGTGAAAATCATCAATTCCTACATATTCAAAAAAATAAGAACTAGCCAACTTAGAAAGTATCTTTTACCTCAATAAAATCTGATTAGGTATTTCACTCAAAAACATCCTTCTTTCGTCCAACATTATTTACAATTACATAATAAAAATAAATGACTCAACGATAACTTTTGAAAAATTATAAAAATTTCCAATCGATTCAACGCACTTCCTTCTTCCTGAAACCTTTTAAAATAATAATAATAATAATAATAATAAATCGTTCCAAGTATCATTTTAAATCGTTCGTGATTCACAATATTTTTGTGGATAAAGGACAAATATATATAAGAGACGCGAAAAATGATCGATCAAACGTAATTCTGAATTGGGATAGAATCGATGAGGATTCTTCGACGAACAATAGCGTTAATCGGTTTGTAGGAATCGCGAATAAGCGACACGCGCGCGCCCTCGCATCTATTATTTATTGACACTGGTGCGCGCGTTGTACGCGATTCGACATACGGAATTTCCGTGCAGCGCGCGGAGTTGGTGTAATTAATTAGCGGAGCAATTACGGGGGGTGTAATGAAGCCACGGCAACGAATTGGAAGCGCGAGAAACGGCGCGTCCAACAATCCTCGTATTAACGGAGATAACGACTTTTTTTTTTTTTTTTTTAAACCTTTCTCCATTTTATTCCATAGAGAATACATTTCTCTGCGTGAAAATGAAAAGTAGCGTTGGAAATTATTATTATTTTTTGTTTTCGTTGTTGTTGTTCTTTTATTTGGCATATCGTGAATATTTAAAAAAAAAAGAAAAGAATGAAATAAGTGAATATTTTAATACTATTTGTAATTTTGTGAAACAATCTCTCAGATTGAATTTTAATTTCGTAAACTTAAATTCAGATTTCAACAGATTTGATCGACGAAATTTAATTAAAATTCGATTGATCAAAAAAGAGGAGTAATCGATAATAAAACGTGGTAAAATGGGGAAATTTGTCAAGAAAAATCGAAAAAGTTTGCGTGAGTCTTAAAATTTTCCAATACTACAAATTGAAAAGAAAAGAAAAAAGAACAAATAATTAAAAATAATTCACCCTCGAGCAAAATAACCATCTAAAAAATTAACAAATTACACATTTTCAAATCTCGTTTCTCACTTTTATCACTTAAATCTCCGATAATAACAATGCATCTCCGTCACAAACAAATCTTAATAAACGAGAGAAAACGTTTATTAAAATTCGATTATTATTTATATCACAGCAGCGCATTCATTCGAATCCATTTTTTCGAGACGAAAAATGAATATCGGTTTATCAACGGGAGAAGAGGACCGCGCAAGAAGCGCGCAAAGTATGAGCCATCTACGGCTTAATTAGGGGCATTAATATGGATAAACCAGAGGGGGGGGAAGAGAAATCCGAAATGCGAAGGATTTGCATGCTTGCGAGCGCCACCTTCGTATTTCCACCCGTTTTACCTTCAACAACATCCGGATTTCCCTTTAAAACCTCGTGGATCACCGAGGAACCGTTGGGATTTTCCACCAGGTATATTGCCTATCCCTGGATGAGAATATCGGCACGTTGTTACGAAAGACGTTGTTACATGGGAAGGGGGAATTAAGATTTATTAGGGGACGAGATAAGAAATGAGCGAGATTCGGGATCAGAATTTTATGGAATTCGATGATTATTTATCATCGAGAAGATACGAATTTATGGTGCTAGAGAATCGGTTAATTTTATTTATTTAGTTTTGGGAGGGAAGAATCGTTTTAAATCGTATTAAGAAGAAGAGGATAATTCGTGTATTATATATCTAGGAAGGAATACTAATTTTTAAGATGATTGCTATAAAAAGGAAGTTTCGTTCTTCGATTTTACGTATCGTGAATATTAAAAAAAAAAGAGAAGAATGAAATAACCGAAGTGAATATTTTAATACTAATTTGTAATCTTGTGAAACAATCTCTCAGATTGAATTTTAATTTCGTAAATTTAAATTCAGATTTCAACGGCAACAGATTTGATCGACGAAATTTAATTAACGTCAAAATAGATTTTTTAAACGTTTGGATTTCTTTCAATATCTCGATTAAAAGTAATTTTCGGGGGGTATTTAAGGGCGTAAATATAGAGAGAGTTCAAGCTTTAAAAAAATGACTCCACGAAGATTATTGTAGGACAATTTGTCACGAAGTTATAATGGTTCGATTAACTGCGCTAATATATTTTTGTATAGACAGGCAGTACGAGTAGATAAATGTATAATAAAAAGTTCCAATCGTTATTTCCTCCAAAATTGATTTGACATTCCATATAACTTGTTCCTTGTAACTATCGAGAAAAAAAAAGTGCATAATGGTCCAATAAAAAGTTCCAATAGTAATGCTCTTAAAACTGTTTCAACATTTTTATAACTTCCAAGAATAAAAAGGGTACAGAGTTGCGGCCAGTGTACAGTAAAAAGTTTCGATTGTTGCTTTTCTAAACCTCAACGTTCAAGAAAAGTTGGAAGGAAAAAAAGGTATACGGTTACTTAATGAAAATATGTATAATGAAAAGTTTTCAATCGTTATCTAACTCAACTCTTTTGCATAACTTCCCTTGTAACTATTAAGAATATACAAGAAAAGGATACCTTACTTTTCCAAATCAATGTTCGAATAACTTCTGTAACTAACAAGAAAAAAGATGAACCAAGTGAAAATATGTGTAATAAAAAGTTATTCCAATAATTATTTTTTTAAAGCTTTAAATTCTAAAGTCTGTTATTCGTATAACTTTTCTTATAACTAAAGAGAAGAAAATACACGAATAAAAATAAAAAGTTCAAATCCTAAACATAAACTCTCTATACCAAGAATAACCAAGAAAAGGATACACACCTTATTTTCCTAATTTAATATTCCAATAACTTTTCACCGACGAAAGGAAATTTTAATTACTTTATTAAACGTAATTCAACTTTCGAACAACTTCTTTTATATAAATATCAAAAGACATAAAAAATTTTAATTACTAAATAAAAAGTTTCATTCCTTATTTTCCTAAATTTGACTCAACATCTCTCTCTCTCTCCCAAGAAAAAGACAATTAACTGAAATAACGAATAAACTAAACTATAATATAAACATTCAAATAATTTTCTCCTTTGAAGAGAAAAGAAAAGAAAAGAAAAAGTTCCAATCGTTGTTTTCCTAAAAAAAAAAAAAACATTCAATTCAACATTCGAACAACTTCTCTCGCAAGTGAAGAAAGCCGACGATAGCCGACGAGCGCGACCGATTGAAAATGTCCATTAGCGCAGCAATGCCGTGTGAAAGGCGGGCCGGTTATTAGAACGATCGTTCGCCGCTTTTATTCGATCGTTGAATCAGCTACGGGTCATTTGTACGTATTTACGGTGCGATTCAGCGACTTAGTTAATTGGCTACGTAGATCG